CAGGGTAGCTACAATTCTGTTCCCAGGTATCGCGCGAATGAGGCTTCAAAGCTGTGGATTGCTGTGCAGGTGTAGAGGTTATCGAGCCATTGACGGAAAGGGAACTTGAAGTACTATACCTGGTAGCTGCACTATAGCTACCCTGGGTCTCTATACCTGGCAAGGTGCCAACTACACCTTTCCATTCAGATGATGCAAATGATGCAAATTGCATTTCTTGCATCACCACCCCTCAAAAATCACCTCCAACACAACCTCAAAAAACCTTCCCTCGACGCACCCTCCTCCCCCAGCATGTGCCGAGTTTACGTGTACCTTTTGCGGGCCACCCCCCCCCAGACCCCCTAACTACTCACTTCGTTCGCCAAACACAACTCCGCTGGCGCCTTCTACGAAGGCAGGCTTTCGTAACAATGCATTCCTTTGAACTCATAGTCTGTAGTTCGTGAATAATTCCTCTTGAAGTGGATACAATTAGTTGCCTAGAACTAAAGCTGCCCAGCTTAGCCAGCTTTGTCTTTGGTCTTGGACTAGCTCTATGACAAAACCTATACCAGGACCGGACCCAACGGGTGGTTCTAGGACCTGTCACCATGAAACGCCTGTTGGAAGGTCCATGGGAATAGCCACCCCGCGGGCAGCCCCACACCGAAGGTCCCTAATGTATTGTAATGTTTGATCAGTGCCTGATGTGAGACTATCGCAACTTTACACCCAACAAACCTAGCCAATAGATACTGGCTTTCTATGATTGCATTTGATATTCTTTGGGTTTAACTGCTTAACTAAAGTTGTTGAACTGCAGCTCAGTGGCAGGCCCCGTTGGGGGTGCCAGGATGGGCAAGACCCATGGAAGTGGCTGCACTGCCAGATGTGGAACACGGAAGAGCGGGCCATAGGCCGCGAGAGAATCCACTCGAGGAGAGAGTTGCACACTCTTGATCTCCTCAGATGCCAAGCATGCCATCCATGCAAGATCTTTGGTCCGGGGCCTTCAAGGGGTGGTTAATGGACCCCCCTTAACAGCTAAGGGGCTATAAATAGACACCCCTTGGAGGGTCCTGGGTATGGTTTTGAAAAAAAAAAGAAAACTCTTGGCGTTCTGGTCGACTTGTTACCAACCTCAGAAAGCGCAGGTCGAGTCTACGTATGTCTACGTCTACAAGATCCAGCTCAGTGTCTTTGAGGGGCCTGGAATCATGGAAGCGGATGGCCTGGCCCCGATTTCGGAAGACCATTGACCTGTACAAATAGGTGGTTTTCCACGTAACCATGATGATTCCAGGGAGTGTATTGAAAAACCACGGCACCGACGCGGACTCCCATGTCGAGTCCGTGCGCTCGTGCGGCAACGGCATCGCTCGGTGCCGCTGCAGGGCTGAGGGCATCGGCGGCTCCCGGGTGGGGGTGACGAGCACCAGCGGTGCTACCAGCGGTGCTGCCAGCGGTGCTGCCATGGCGGCAAGGGGTGAGATGTCTCCCCCTTTTGAACCAGGGTGAGATGTGAATGATTCGTGGATCATGGGTGAGAAACAGAAATGGCTGAATTGGATACTCTTCAGGATGTGTTGCTTTCAAAATTGACTATAGTTTGTTGAACCAAATGAGGACATTATACGTGGGATTCGGATCTGGCAAAGCCTGTCCTGTTCTAGGGCGGGCCCCATGTAACAGAAAGACATACTGTTGGTGTCTTTCCATTCTTCTTTGTTAGTACAAGTTATACCCCTCGACCACCACTGGTACCAAAAAACACATACCAGGACCATCCTGTCCGGGTGTTCAATGGACTACCCTATATACTACTTATAGATGTCCAAACAGGACACCCAGACAGGACGGTCCAGGTACAAATTGAAACTTGTAGTGGAACCTCTGGGATCTGCTGGTGTTTGTCCCTTCTTCTTTTTCAGGATCCTCCATGTTTTGGAGTTTGGCTTGATGAACCCCCCCGTGCTTCCCACCCAATTCCTACCTATATGCTTGTTGTTCTTCGATGATTTTGTGGGCTCCAAGCACCATGTCATGGTGGATCCCAAACATGAAGACTGACGGTTAGACGGTTTTATGGTCCTTGGATTACCAACCAGGTGCCAAGTCCCTTCCAGCCAACTTCGAGCCATGAAGTCCAAGCTACTTCGAGCCATGAGGGAGGGTGAAGCTGGTGGAGTCCAAGAGAGGCACCGAAAGGGATCCGGGATCACTTCAAGGATCCAGCGTTTCTTGGGTTGAACATACTGTGGTCAGGCGGCAAGAATCCTTCACTTCGCCCCACAATGGAGCGCTTGCTTGAGCTCTGCTGTCCTAGCTTGTTGATCTTGTTGTCTGTTCAGCATGGGTTTGCATACTATTCTTCACCTTCTTGTGCTTGGAGCTTTGCGAATCTACCGCGGACATTCAAAACGACCCTCCGATATCCTCCGATATTACTTGTGCTTTTTCTCCTCACCACCACAGGGTGCCCTGTAGCAAGATCTGACAAGATGTAGAATGTAGACCACCAAGATCAGGCATGCCCAGTAGGCGCACCTCTTTTGAAGCTGATCATCAGGGGATGCCAAGCCTGGGTCTGCAGATCATTGCAGATCTCTATATATATATCATATATAATCTGTCATGGATGTTTGGATCTGTATGGATGTGTGATGGATCTGTGTTGTGTCAGCTTAGGCTGGGTGTTCAAATTTATGCATTTTCTATCTTGCCATGTGCTTAGTCAATTTGATGCACCTCTGGAAGACTGCCTGAGATGGGCAAAGCGAATACCTGGACGAACCTCCAACTACCTCCGCAGAACGAAGGCAGCTGGGGTGAGTAGGGGGTCTAACTAACGATCCCTCTGAGGATGTGGGACAGGATCCCCACAGCAAAACTTGGCTCTTGCTGTTGGGGCAGGTAGCAACTTTGGGGGGGTCCGAAATCGCATCTTGACACACTTAAAGCCGAGCTTGTGTCTTTTCTGGTGAGCGGAAACCCGTGACGACAAGGCCCAAGGGCCCCTGGCCCATATCCTCAGAAGGTGGGGACTGACCCCCCTGGCACCCACCCGAACGGTAGTTGGAGCCCTGGACAGTGATTTTAGTCATAGTCAAATGGCGGTCGTGGTACCAGGATACAGACCGGTTGACCTACCTGGAAGGCTTCTACAACATGGTCTTAGGGGCTCTAGGTTTTACGCCGTCAGGATGAAACTGGCTGACCTTCCCACCCGCTCTGGAGTGAGAAGACAAAGAGGACACAAATCAAACAATCAGAAAAGATTGTCCAGCGCATGGTCTAGGGGCCTCTAGGTTTTGACCCATCCCCATATTCCGGTCAAAGGAAGACAACCAAGATCAACCAGTCGCCCGGCCACTCGAAACGCGCCATGGACTGGTAGACTAGGCCATCCGAACGCGCGTGGCTCTGGGGAAAGCACTGGTTGAAGCGATGCAGAGCCACCTGAAAGCAAAAAAGAAGCTAATAGGGGCTGCTGGCATCGCTACTAGGAGGAAGGACGCTACTAGGGTCTCCTGGCCTTACTACTAGGAGCAAGAAGCTACTAGGAGCTTTTTCGTGCTGGACCAGAGTCCGTTCTGCAGCTTCAACTGAGTGAACAGAACTGACCCAACTCTTCCTACCAGCACCCGCAGGTGTGCAGTCTAAAAAAAGGAGACACCCTGGCCCTGGCCAGGGGGTGGAACTGAGAGGGGTCTCCCACTTTGGATGGACGAGACGTGTTCCATGCATCCCATCGCCCAGTGGGTGCTTCAAACGCCATCGGTCTGGAACACCGAACACGCGGGCCCGAAACGCGGCCAGTTTCGGTCCCTGTTGAGGACCCTGAGGGTCCGCAAACAAGTTAAGCCTACATCAACGAAATGAGTGGAATAGACTTTCCGATGGTGCCAGGAGTGGAGAGAAAGAGTACTATTCCTTACAGTAGGGCTCCAACCAGATCCTCAGAAGGTATTTAGACCCTCAAACCCACCTCAACCACCTTCTGAATATGTGGTTGAAATCCTAGGGATTTCTGCATATTACTACCACTTCTTGAAACAAAAAACACATCATCTCCACACCAATTCACGGTTCCAAACCCAGCCGGAACACGGCGCTCGCTCAGCTCTTCCCTGTCACACCATCACCATCCCTATGGATGCCCCTGCGGATCCTTGCTTCGCCCAACTCGTCGCGTCCGAACGCGAACTCGTCGCGATGCCGCCCCGGAACATGAGACCCTTCACCGCCTTCACCACTCGGGTTTCACCGTGAGACACGGTGACACGGTAGGCTGTAGGGGTCCAAGTACACGGACCGACGAACACATGGAAATGGAGCCAGGGCCACTTGGAAGACCCTGAAAATCCTCTACAAACAGCTGGTTTTCCACGTAACCATGATGATTCCAGGGAGTGTAGTGGGTTGGAGGCCATCGCTATAGTACAATTAGCTGGTTTTCCACTTCCATGTTAGTGAGTCAGTTCGGGTACCTTCTGAGAAGGTGCCCGGAGGGTCTCAAACGGGGCCCTCCCAGGTGGTTGGTCGAGCCAGGTGACAATCGCCCAGCCTCGGTCTCATTCTCCAAGAAGAGTTCCACCCGGTAGCTGCCTGTGGGCGACAGCTTAAAGCACCGACGAAAAGAAGGGGGCGTGGCTGATGTCGCGTCCAAGTCTGTTTTTTGGTGCTTCTTGTTTTTTGTTGTTTTTCACGTGCTGGTTCTGAGTTCCGCAGTGGTTGGAAGATCCCCCAACAAAACACATTGGATGTAGTGGTTGCTGACTGCTCAAGTCTAAGACTGTTGGTTGCTGGACAAGCTTGATGTTTTTGCCTCGTTCAGGTCTGGCTTCTTGTCCAGTCAAGTCGAAGCGTGTCCTCAATGTCGATGCTCCGTCTCCTTGGAGACGATTGCTTGAGGACATTTGAGGACAAATGCCCCAATCATCCATGGGAGTGGAATAATTGCCCACATTGACCCTTACAACATCTTAAAACCAACCGAATGCAAGCAATAGTCCATACATGGAAGGTCTGGGATGGTGTCCCAGCACTGAGTCAATCCAAACATGATCCTAGTTGGCCATATGTCCTAACTCAGGTCAAAAACCTCGTTGTAATCCCCACTACTGTAAAGAGTTTATTTGGGGAGGTTGGCCGTAGCTCATTTGTGGAAGCCTTCTTTCAAGGGCGACATCTGACCGCATTGCTGGGCGTCTAAATGCATGCATTATCTACTCCTATATATCATTATATTTACTATATATATAGTAATATTGTTATGTTTCCTTTTTTTTGGCTATTATGAAAAAACTTTCGGCATCCTCCAACAGGTCCACACAAACTTCGTTTGTCACGACCGACGCTTGGGTCCTAAGAGGTTGACCATTCGTGGTGACCAGGTCCTTTCGAGGGTGCCAGGTATGACCATCCAAGTGACCACCAAGCCATCCAAGAAATTCCCCATGACCATACCATGCCGACCATGTCGCACTGCTCCGCACTAGAGCACTGGAAACCCGGTCTGCTTTTCTCACCTGGCGTCTCCAGCTTGAGGCAACGCGCCACCTGGCAGTAGCATGGAACTCGGAGAAATAGGCCCAGCGCCTGAAGCCACCTGGCGCCTCCACTCCGGTACTTTGCCCCTTCAAACGTTCAAAACGGAGATTACAAATTGATTGGAATCTGTGCGGCCCTCCCCGAACCAAACCCTTCCGGAGAAGGGCCACGGATTCTTAGGGGTCCGGAGCCCAAATGGAGCTCTACAGGAGTAAAAGGAAGTAAGGTTAAAATAAAGCCCAATCAAGCAGGTGAGCCGAGTCTAGGGGATTCTTCACCGAGACGGCTAAGGTGCTGTCTGGACCCTCTGGCCCCCCATCGAATCATATGCGACTTCTACACTGGGTCATCCAATGGGTGTCCAATAGACTACTCTACGACTGCCTATGGACCTCCATTGGACACCTATTGGATGACCTGGTAGAAGGAATCACAAAATTCAAACAGCAAAACAAACACTAAACGCCTGCCCAGTATGTCGAGTCAATAGGAACCGTCCGCAATCACCAAGTGGACCGTGACTGTGAAGGCCCATGAGATTGATTGGATCGGAGACTAGTCTTTGCAAAGTGGTCTTTCTGCGATCCAGCTTTCTCCCAGAAAACACGTCCTTGATCATTACCTGGACCTTCGGGGTGTCCTGGCTGGAGAGACCAGAACCTCAAAGTCTCAAAGTTTTCGCGCACATGCTGTGCCCCTCCCTCTCCCTCCCTCCCTCCCTCCCTCCCTCCTCCCGCCCTCCAGCCTCGCAGACATTCCTGTGGGTGACGACGGGGTGAGTAATTCCGTCGGTGCCTTTCTGAGGTGCTGCCCCAACGCTCCCAACAGCCCGGCCCTCGGTCCCTCAAAACCTATAAGGATTTGAGACCCCAAAGCCCTCCAAAGGATTCGGGTCCGACCCCGTCCAGAGGATTCGAGTCCAGGGTCGCGGTCTGGGTGCAGCTTAAGGAGATAACACCCTGGAAGACGATCCCATGGAACCAGAAAGCCCCTGGTTGGTAGAGGAAAACAGCCTTCCATGGGACCCATGTCAGGGTCTATGTTAGTTTTCGGGAGTGTATCCTGGAGATTCATGTGCGAACTTCTGGCGAGCGGGATTCCCGATGTCTAGAACCGTAACCCCACCCACCCTCAGGTCCACGCGCAACAACATACAGCAACCCCTTGGGGGCCTCCTGCTTTAAGGAACGTATACGGTATACGGTATATAAGAAGCGTTTCGAACGACGACCACCGATGTTGACGTAGAACAACATGTTCTAATGCCGCAAAATGTAAATGCCACGTCTTTTGGGCGCGCAACAACGAGAAACGTCGTGGTGTCTTTCATGGCCGAGGCGCTCGGAGAACCAGGCGACCAGCTGTCTCTTTCGCAAGCCATGGCCGGACACCACCAAGGAGTTGGAGGTCATGACCGGTCATCCCCACTGAGCCTCCACCCTAATAGCAATGGCCTGCAACCTACCTCCAACCTACTAGCGATGGCCTCCAACCTACTAGCGATGGCCTCTAACCTACTGTTCACAAAGCTAACTGATGAGTCCAATTGCTTCTACCAGTACGTAGATTCTGAAAGCTGCCGAGATCAGGTCCTGTCAGCTGCTCAGAAACAATAGTTACGGGGAGGGCATCTTTCAGAGTTTCACTCTTATCCTGCACCTCTATGAACATCTTCACCAAATGCAACTAATAACGGAGTCCAATAGTGATCTGATCCGGACTCGCTAAGCTTGAGCATTCTCTGCTCTGACGGGAATTGTCATGGAATGACCCGGACCAAGTTCCTGTGGAACAAACAAACGTGCAGGCCGAAGTTTCGTCAGTGACAGTCAGTGGGAGATCCACCATCTGACAAAACCAAATGTTCACCGACGCCGACCAGTGAGAGAAATTAGCTATTTTACTGATATCCCAAACGTTGCATGTCATGTATAGAATATCATAAATACCTACCTTGGGGTGCTTTCAGGGATCAATGTCTAGGCATGGATTGGCCCTACGAGTATTGGCCCTACCGTGGTCTCTGTACTGCTCACCGTGGTCTCTTCCGGCACACGGTCGACGCTCAACGGAGCTAAACCAGTCTACTCAGTTCCCAAGTAATACAGCTAACCAGTGGTTCCAAAGGCCTTCCACCGTAGACCAGCCAAAAACCCTGGTTCCTTAGCTGCCGATCCGAAAACTGTCCGGTGCCAATTGCACCTGGTTCCTTACGTCCGGCCATGGGACTTACGTCCGGCCCAGATCCCCCAACACTCGTGAGATTGAATAGAATTGCCTATAATTGACCGACCCCTACACAAAAACCACCTTATATACTCTGTAATATGTCATAAATGGAGTCTCTGGGAAACGAATCCAACACTAACCAAATATCAAACACATCTGCAGTGGATTCGCCGCGCCCCTCTTCAGGGGGCGGGTTCGTTGAGACACCACCACCGCAGGACGTCCTCTTCTGGCGAGACCTGGCGCGACGACCAGAGTCAACGAAAAAAATTGAAAAACATGGTTATCAGATGGGAAGGAAGCGTCATCCCCTTGCAACTTGCTGCTTCACGGCTCGTTTACGGCATGTTTACGGCAGCAATCCATCCGTCGACTCAAAGCATCCAGGTAGGGAACTCACATGCTGGAGAGATTATCATAGACAAAGAACTTGCAAGAATTATCTTCCTGGGTGGGCTCCAAGTGGAAGATGATTCGACCAGGTGAGCCCATCCCAGCGAAATCATGTCACTGGTGAAAGGCGGGAAAGGGGTGATCGCGTATGGTACGGGTATACCCAATGGGTGTCTTCGGAATCCGATGCTGCGAACGACATGTCCATTTAGAGAGATAACCATGACCTTTCACCATGTTCAGCACCTCTTGTTGGGTCAACGCCTGAAAACGGAAGCAACTGGGACGTCCATCCCTTCTTCTCCACCGGTCGAGGACTGCCTTCTTCTCCTGCACCGCCTCACGCCAGGTCTCAGCCACTACCCTTAGGGTGCTCGCCGCCTGGGGGGCCGGGTCAAGCGGAGCAGGCATGAGAAGGCAAGCTTGACGTGTGGACAGGACCCGTCTACGTGGGTTGTTTGGGAGTTCTGAAGTGTATCCGTATCCAGGAAAAAAAAAACAAACATGCCCTGAAGTGATCCATTGAAGTTGGAAGAAGTACTGACCACTCCTTCTGGATCAGTTCTTCTCTCCACTTCATGGCCCAAGAACTTACAAAAACTAAACACATCATTATGGAAGGCAATGGCAACGAACATGGGCAACCATCGACTGAGCAAGCAAAGGAGCCGGGTGATACCAGGAAAAAGCCCCAGCAATACACACTTCCTTTAAAAATAAACAGTAGCAGCTACGCAGGCGCAGGAAGTTGTCCCTTCACAACCACATCCTTTAGCTAGATATAGATATGATATCTTCATAGCTCATCCCACGGGCTTCTGGCAGTCCCAACGCCCCAAAGCGCTCAAAAGTCAGATCCCGTTCGAATTCCTTTCGACCAATACACCACGAGACCTGGTTCAACAGGGCAGCAAGCCTCTCAAGCCCCAAAGCATGGTTCAAAGCCCACGCAGTTGGGTAGGTACCATACGCAAACGACACGTGTGTCTAACACCACCGAGCCCCGAGCACGAAACAGGGAGCGCAGGCCTCGGTGACGGGAGCGGCCACGAAAGGATAGTTTTTCCAAGGGCCAGAGCTGAAGAACCAAAACACATCAAAACACTATGACCCTGAGGTATGGTAGGCCCAGAACAACTGCTGCTCACAGTTGCTCCTTGAATTCCCCACAGGCTTGCCTCAAGGCACTCACCATGTCTTGCCTGAGGTCTTGCCAGGTATTTGACCCATAGCCACCTTGTCTCAGATGAATCTTTCAGTTGGAAGATTGCATGGTGCAGTTTTTCAAAGCTGACCCTCGACCCTCCCTCATCTGGGTCTTTTCCAGCTTCGGTGTGACACGACCGATCTTCCTTGTACACTCTGACTCACTAACATGGAAGTGGACAATGACCCCTTAGAAGTCTACTTTCCTTTACAAACAGGAGGCTGTCCACTTCCATGTGATGTGTTCGTCGGAGTGTAAGTCAAGCTTGGACCTCCAGATCTCCACACAGCCAGGTGAAAAACCCTGCTTCCGCATGAAACACCTGGACCAAGAAGAAGACCGGACTTTGGGGGGACGCCTCCCGGACCGGGAGATCCGGAGGCCCTAAGCGTAAGGGAAGTAGGAAAGGCCAACAGGTCCATCGCTACGAACGTAACAGTCGAATCAGTCGAATTCGACCCATGCTCCGTGTCGTGCATCCGAAGGAGACCATCCCGTGACTTTCGTGACACCCGAAGGCGACGGGCGCCCCTTCCGCACTTGAGAACTTCCGTGGTCGCGGAAACATGGGTTTCCTTCTACTCGAACACAACAAACCCAAATACGACTCATGGTACTGGCATATTTGGGTACACGACTACGGTGGTTTGAGGTGTCCATTGTAGCTCAAAGATTCCGTGCATGGAGTGGCTCAGGGAACTGCGACCGGAAGGGAGAATTTTGGAATTGGCTCAGAGAGAAGGGCTATGCATGGGCATCTTTTTCCAGGAACATCTGTCCATCCTTCCCTGGAATCCCCCCACAAAACATCCCTAAGACCCTTTGGCCGCAAGTCGCAGAACCAGAAGGAGATCGTTCTTGCGGCCGTTTGGGACCTGACAAGACCTGACCTCCTGATATGTGCAGGGGCCGAATCTGGTGCTGTTCGTGACTCGTGACGCAAGCGTCCAAGCCGAACTGGACCCGTGAAGAAACCCGGGAAAGTGGCGAAAGCGGAAACCCGGGTTTTGGATGGTTTTGGCACCCCCACAGGTGAGGTAGCACCTCTGCTCACCAGGTTTCCCACCTGCTCAGAATCTAGAGGTAAAGGGATGTCAATCAACCACACCCCAAACAGCTAGCTTGTGCTGGTACATTGCTTGTTGTTTGCATGCACACTTATTGAAAGTACACCTCTCCCTCGAGGAACAACCGCATCCAACCACGCGCACCGCGCGCGTCGGCGTTCAGGAAAGCTGCTGGTCGTCCCCACTTCTTTCTTGGATTTGCTCAATTTCTCGGCCTCTTTCTGCTCCATTTCATCCTTCTGCTGGCACGAAATCAACACACCCAGGATTGGAAGTTCAATGCGGAACAGGTGCTGAACTTCGGACGTCGGACGGTGGCGGTGGCGGTGACTTTCAAGCCACCCCGACATGTGAAACATATGAGGTGCATGTGTTGTTTTTGTGTGTTTTGCAGTGCAGAACATATGAAAACATACGAACACCCTGGAACCCCTTGGGGTTTCGCAGGAAAGTGTGCAAGCGCAACATGGCAACATGCGTGCAGCATCGATTGTTCTTTGCCTCAGCATCTCCAAGGATCTACCATCAAATACATCGACAAATTATATAATTGTAGGATGGGAAACCGGCTCAAACATTTAGATCCTGAAACTCACATGTCGAATTTGCAGGCCGTCCATATGATTTCAGTGTTTTTAACTATATTGGATCATCTCGTTTAAGTCATATTTTCCATCTACCGGGATCCGTTTAGAAGTGCCCTTAGTGCTATAGGAAAACCATGGTTTGACCCGCCAAAGCCGACCCGTGACCCGTGAATGCCGATCACGTTTCTCCGCACAAAGAAACGTCCTGCACTTCATCGAATTTCGACAGGAGCATGGACAAAAACCTCAGGCGTTCCAAATGTGGAATGGCATGGCGTTAGAGGCGTTGCGACGCCGGCCGTGCGCACACGCCCCATTTGGCGGACGTGTCGAATCATCGACCCGAAAAATGCATGGATGATTCGGAGTGTCCATGACCTACAGTGCGGGGTGCAAACAGGATTCCTTTCGTAAACATGTCTTCCTCCATTCTTCACATCCTCCGCACCTCCGGAGTCTCCCATTTCTCGGATTCTCCGGCCTATGGGTCCGGCCTATGCGCATGTCCAGCATCCTGGGCCTCTTCCAGACTGGAAGAATCAAAAGCCTTGTGATTTACCAATGATTTCCACTCTCCTCATCCATCCATCCGTTCCTCCGCTGCAAAGGCTTGACCTTCGTTTTTCAGATCCTGAAGGCCCCTCCGAGGCCCGCGCAAGCTCAGGAAGAGGATCTGTCCAAAGATGATCAGCCCAACCTGTCAAGCGGCGCTGAAGGAATGAATCCCATGAGAGTGTGCCCAGATATGAATCATCCCAAATCATCCCAATATAGCCCCAGTATCCCCAATAAGCAGAACATTTTAGAAAGCATGCCAAGATATGATCAGCTGTTTGAATCATCCCAATATAGCCCCAAATAGATAGAAAATGATAGACAAACATAGAAAGCGTGCCAAGACATGATCAGCTGTTTGAAGAGTGGATTTACATGATTTAGTCGGCATGAGTCTATTT